ATAAAGTTTTCTGTATTTCCCTAGCAAGAAAAGGCTATGTTTTGAAGACCTCCTCCCAANTTATCACCACCAGTATCATTATCATCACAGGAAACATTCACTGAGTGCTTAGTCGGTGCCACACACCAGTCAATGTATTTTACATACAAAATTTCATTCAATTCTAACAACCCAGTAAAGTTACTCTTAGTTTAAATTCCAATTTTATAAGTAAGGACATAAATTAGGTAACTTGTTGAAACTTTATAATCTGCAGGATAAGCAAGGCAACATTATCACCACCAGTATCATTATCATCACAGGAAACATTCACTGAGTGCTTAGTCGGTGCCATACACCAGTCAATGTATTTTACATACAAAATTTCATTCAATTCTCACAACCCAGTAAAGTTACTCTTAATTTAAATTCCAATTTTATAAGTAAGGAAATAAATTAGGTAACTTGTTGAAACTTTATAATCTGCAGGATAAGCAAGGCAATTGAGTCCTGTTTTTACACACTGGCCTATACTGTTACCCACAATATTAAAGTGTTTTGCAAATTATAAATGCTGTAGACTTATGAGCAGTTATCATCATCATTAGTAACGATCTGATTTACTGTCTGGGGAGCAGTTTGTATTGGAAAGTGTTTTGCAAATTATAAATGCTGTAGACTTATGAGCAGTTATCATCATCATTAGTAACAATGTGATTTACTGTTTGGGGAGCAGTTTGTATTGACGATCTGATTTACTGTCTGGGGAGCAGTTTGTATTGGCCATTCTGTGATATAAACAATTCATTTTGTGATATAAACAACAAACTATAAACAACTTATAAGCCTTGATATAATTCATTTTCTGTACATTTTAGGTTTGTCATTTAGGACTAAATGAAGTATTTTGTAATATTTATTTTCTAATCATATTTCTTCTAAAAGTCATATTATGTTCTAGTTAGTACTTACCAAATTGTAAACTATAAAGTTTTCTGTATTTCCCTAGCAAGAAAAGGCTATGTTTTGAAGACCTCCTCCCAAAGCAAACAAAATAAAAGAAAACCTGAAAGATTCAGACAAAATATGGCAGAAAAATGAAAGCCGGTTGGTTATTTGGCATTCTGTTAATAAAACAGATGATTGACTATAATCTTCTTTTTTGTTATTTCCAGTACATTGTATTTACAGTTTAAAGTTAAATTTCAGCTAACTCTAGACTCAAATTCACCTTTGAGAGTTTCTGGCATGTTTTTAGATAAGTAACATTTTCTTCTGCAATTAAAATTTTTTATTTCATTTTCATGCTATTGCTCTGGACATAATTTCATACTTTGAAAGCGATTGATAGATTTCTCACTTTTATAAATTTCTTTTATAGCACATTATTACTTTAACTCCTTTCCCCCAATATAATATTATTATTTTCCCATTCAAGAAACTGCCATTTCTGTTTCTATCTTTCTTTGAAATAAAACCAAAATAATTGTAAAAGTTTTTAATAAAACGCAAGTTGAATTCATTTAACATCTTCCCCCCCAGTTGTTGTAGGTTGAATAACTGGAAAACATATTTGATGTTGATCATATGAATGGTGTGTATACTTGTATTCCAATAAAATAAACCGTGATTTGAATCTGCACCCCTGTTGTGAACAATACATGACAGACTTTTTGAAGTCTTCAGTTTTCTGACACCTCCCTGTCCATTTAAATTTATATTTACAACTGCTATCACATGGTTGGTGTGCTTTATAACAGAGAAGTGATCTATAATTTCCATAAGTACATAAGCTATTGTAACTGAGATGTATTAGTCCATTCTGTTGTTTATAACAAATATACCTGGAACTGGGTGATATATAAGAAAACAAAATTTATCGCTTACAGATTCAGAGGCTGGGAAGTCCAAAGTCCAAGGAATACATCTGGTGGGGGTCTTGTCCTGATGGTGACTACAGCAACTCAGAAAATCACATGGCAAATATGGTGGGGCAGAGAGAGAGAGATAGCTCCTCATGTTCTTTCTTTTAAAAGCCTGAAGAACCTCACCCATGACACCATTAAACCATCAACTTCATCATCTCTTCAAGGCCCCACCGATCATAACAGGATTTACCACCCTCAACAGTTACAGTGGGAATTAAGCTTCTAATGTAAGGACTTTACGGGACACAATTTAATCAATCCACAGCATGAGATCTTGTTTTAAAGAATGTAAAATATATACATTTGAAATTTTAAGTTTCAAGTTTCTGTTCATACTTTTAGAATTTACAGTTTTCTAAATATTTGTGTCATATCATTTTGTAAAATTCTTTCTATTGCTATTTAAATCTTAGCCTCTTATTTTAATATTTCAAAGCTTTTTAAAAAAATAGCCAATTAGATTGTATCCTTCATGAAATTTGGGACTGCCTGATACTATAAGGAATTTTTTTTTTTCAGTTAAAAATGGTATTTTGAGAGTGTTCCGGTCAATTTTTGGAGTAAAAATGCACTGTACCTTTGGCTTCTGTTGTTAAGTAAAGCCAGTTTATATATCTACACATGTAGATCAGGGTAGGCAGAATACTAAGTGTGGACAAATGTTGCTTTTACTTGAATAAATAAAAACACAAGTATTTCACATTTCAGCTTCCTTCCTAAACAACATTTTAACCAGAAGTTTTGACATCTGGAAAAAAATAAGTGATCTGAGTTTGAGATCTGTGTATTTCTCTCACTAAACCCAAGGGGTTATCAGCAAAGAGAAAGAGGAGCAAGAAAGCTGGAAAATTCACAAACTATATTTTTCAACTCCCAGAAAATAAAAAGTTTATTATGCTTATATTGTTGTAATAGAAACTCATAATCTGTTACTTCTCTCAATAGTTTTGCTTTGGTTAATGAGACACCACCTAAAGTTTTAAACTCACAATGTGATATTTATGAATAGTTGAAGGACATTCTTATGGTGAATGGAAATAAATAGGGCAAGGCTCACATGCCACCCACAAACATAAAATAAAGAAGAGCATTTCAAATAGAATAGCTTGCACTGATAAGGCATATATATTTTGATGAAATTGTAAAATTTTGTGATACATTCAGAAAGAATGATAAAATGTAAATTATTTGTTCTTACTATAAAGCAATAATAATTTTCTTTTCATTAATAAGATTAGTTAGTGCAGCCTTTTATTTTCATATTTCTACAAGCAATGATCTGAAAAAATCGATCAGTATTTGACTGATTCAATCATGAGCAATAGTGATCTCACAATCTGGGACTTATCTCCCCCCCTAAGAATGAGAAATTCTCTTTCAAAACAAATGTTTTGGGGCTCAGAACACAAACATAGCGCTTTGGCATGCTGAATATTTTGAACTGAAGAAGATTGTAAAGGCTTCACAAGCAAAGTCTTTCTGACTTTGTCCCATCCTCCTGTCTCCTTCCACCCTTTCTCCCCTGAAGCGAGCCATTGAAACCAGAATTCTTCTACCTCAAAGTGGGTCATAGAAACTCAACTCTTCATCTTCAAAGCAAGCCATAAAGCCTAAAAAGATTACTCTCTGAAAATAGCTTAAGTATCCTTCCCTGTAATTACTGGAGAAAGAAGGTGGAAATGGTAAGAATTTCCAGACTATTAATACCAGAAATTGATGCCAGCATTCAAAGATTCAAAGGTTCAAATGAAAAGGTCATCACCACCGCCACTACCATCATCATTATCACCATCATCAGTATCCTCATCATCACAGGAAACATTCACTGAGTGCTTAGTCAGTGCCATACACCAGCCAATGTATTTTACATACAAAATTTCATTTAATTCTCACAAACCAGTGAGGTTACATTTCTTTGATTCTGAAGGCTCCAGTGTCATCTAAAACTTTGGTTAAATAAATTTCTTATGGTTTTCTCTTGTTAACCTATCTTTTGTTATAGTGGTGTTGGCTGTGACCTGTATGATGGGGAGGAAAGGTATCACAGCTTTCCATCCCTGCAACAACATAACCCATGCCAATCCCAGATGAGCACCCTTGCTTGGGCCTGAGCTGAACCCAATAAATTATCTCATAAATTATCTCTTCTGAGACAGTTTCTCAGATTTGATGGGAAAGAAAAATATTCTAAGAAATTTTTCAAAATATTCCAAAATTACTTAAAGGATTATTCAAATGAACCCCTACTGCTGACAAATTATTTTAACTATGTTATTACTTAGATCTAGACAAATATAAAACAAGTCACCAACTCCTTATGTTATAAATCAAATGAAAAACAAAATTCTAAAACAGTAATATGCAATAGTATTTTGACATGATAGAGGATATTACTTTGTCAAAGCTGAACCACTATTTGTAACACCAATATGATAATTATTTGTAGAGCATGGAATTTTTGAAGTTGGCATACATAGGCTGCCATTTGACGACTTAATTCTTTCATCATTTTTCTTCATCTGTACTCCTGTGAGATATCCTTTGGCTTTTGCTTGCCAAACACAAATATTTGCACATTAAATATTCCTCTACACATTTTCTCATTTGCTTACGACAATCAAAATAATCCTATACTATTTTGCATCAACATGATTGAAAACAAAAAGGCAAATATTGGCACAAATATCAAATGAAAGTATTCCGTCATAAGGTGATTATCCAGAAGATCTGGAAAATGTTTATATTATTTTTAATATTAATATTGAATGAAAACACGACTCTTAGAATTTATCACTGATAACTTGTGGACACTCCAAATGCAGATCAAAACCAAAAATAACTAACTTAATGAAAGCGTTTGCTTTCTTTGTAACTTAGCAAAACTCCTGTGTTAAAACTCTATGGAGGCAAAACCTGACAATATTAAAGTAGAACTTTTGTTTCTTTTTAAATTACTGTGTAAGCAAAACCACACTTCAATCAGTTCATAAAATATGTTTCACAATTACTGCAAGACTCTTGTATGCTTTGTGTGTAATTTGCAGCCTCAAAAATCTGATATTATGTGTTTCAATTATGAAATAGACTTCTAACCTTTTGTTCTCTCTAACTGTTTTGTCTCCTTTCTTCCAGAAGATAGTTGGTTTTGGCGAGCCTTGCGGTTTGCATTCTATGACGACTTCTTGGCCTTTGGTAACAATTATTGTTTTCTTCAGCTGATTCAGTGCAAAAGTGGGAGCTGAAGCTATTAAAAAGAAAATGTTAGTTCTACCAGAAGCAATAAAAGTAACCTTTAATGGATGATTCATCAAGATTGTGCAAATTTTTCTTCTGGGATACATTCCTCATAAAATTATAGGATATCTACACAAATAAAAGGTACTCACTCAAAGTGTAATTTATTATTAATTGATAGATATCTTACTGGCTGTCTTTTAGCAGACGTGGGGCCCACAAATAAAGACTTTCAAAAAATGACATGCTTTAATTATGATTACCAACTTCATTTGTGAAAGACTAATATACAACTTAGACAACAGGTCCAAGGTAGTCTATTTGGGCTTCCTTTGGAAAGATGGGGGTTACCTGTGGAGCAGATAATCCTATGTCTAAGTTTCCTATTTATGCATCTGAATTTAACCCATGTTTAACTTTAATATTACACAAAACTGAATATAGTTTTAAAAGAAATATATTTTTGAGAAATGTGTTTTTAAATTTCAATTAAAAGTTGTATTTCATTAATGGCAATTATTCGCTTAGGTCTGATTAGTCATTAATATTAATATTGTTTACGTTAGATTTTTATCAGGACACATTTTAATCTCAAAGAGAACCTGAAATATATGTTTACAGTATGTGAGACATTTGTTTATGCCAACCTGACAATTTCATGGGTATTTCATAAGTATTTTATGTCCATCATATAGCAATACAATACATGGTACAACATTAAAAAAGATATGTATACAATTGAGATATGTTAAGATATTGGAAAAAAGTAAAGGAACCTATGGGTAGGTTGCAGGTAACATTTTTGGTTGTATACTGGGAATATAATTTACAAAAGGTAAGTCTGAAAATATGTCTAATGAAGGATAAGGATTTGGGAGTGTTTTTAGGTAAACTGTTAACTAGGTGAAGTCTGAATCAACTTTTTAACTCAGAGATGTTGCAGTGTGAGTCAACAACAAAAAAATACCTTAATATTTGATTGGTTGGGATATAGGAGATTGAAATGCAGAATCTTGTGTCTATTTTGGATGGATTTTTTGTAATGCAAATAAATTTCAAGTGTAAACATTCATAAGTCAATAAACAGATTTACACTGTATTACAGTTAGCAGATATGTAAATGGTAGGTTCTCAAATTCCTGAGGTCTTTGGTATTTCTGTTAACGTTATGCTTTGGAAATTTAAGAGGGGAGTAGAAAGCATACTTTCCTTCTTTCCACTCTGGGGAGACAGGGAGTTGAGATCACTTAAGTATCTCTCTTTGTATTTCAAACATCCCAGAACCAAAGTTTAGGAAACCATCAGAGTGGGAAAAAGTAAAATTCATTCCAGTGGCCCAAATATGCTCATTCTGGGTAGTCTGTTCCACTGGATCGATTCTTTCCTGTGGTATTTAAATAGTAAAGTAGTGCTAGTGCACAGGTTACATTCTTATCAAGTATGAGCCTGTCATGCCTAGCCTCAGGAAGGCTTTCCCTCATATGAAAGAATGACAAAGTTGATGCCCCGTGAGAAGAGGCTCATTTACCCTGGAGTCCTATCTTAAAGAAGCCACATATCTAAAGGTAGGTAGATGCTGCTTAAGAAAATATTAAGCATTGCTTATGGGAGCAGAAACAGGCTACTGGAATTCTATATTCTGAATCCCTACCCTCAAGGCATTCTTTTTTAAAAGTGAAGATACATTTGTTTATATGATTTCTTTAATGCCATAGCAAAGACATATTGTGTAGACCTTTTAAGATTAAAGCTAAAGTTACAAAACCATATAAACAAAAAGTTATGGGACAAAGTATACACGATGTAAACCTGTCTTCTAAAGCTTAAAAAATAATCAGCAAGACACAATATTTCTTTTCAAGCCATAAAATAAGTTTTTACAACTACATCATAAAACCTCAGTATAGTGAGAATTAGAGCACGAATAGAAGCAACCCTTTTTTTCCTGTTTATCTACTTAGAAATTGCATACCTAGAATCTTCAGCTCAGCACTAGCATAAATGGCTCCATATTTATTTTCAGCCAAACACTGATACATTCCAGCATCTGATTGATTCACATTGTGGATCACCAATACTCCATTAACCATCTCAACCCTACTCTGTAATGGAATTAAAAAAATTAGATCTAGGAAGTAAACACATCACACAGAATTTGTGAGTACTCTCTCTTAGACCAATAAAAATTAATAATAAACTATTAATAAGTAATCATAATTAATAAATTAATAATTAATGAGGGTAAACATTATTTGGCAGCTTAACAATGCAAATTTACTGTTAATTACTTTATTATAACACATCTCTTGTAAATTATAACTATTTCTTGGTCAGAAAAGAAATTCTATTTTCCCGCAATTATTCTTATGAGTTTTACATTCACTCTGGCTTACAAACTAAGCTACCTTTGTTTGGTATACTAGTTGAGCTTGTGAAATACAATCAACAGATGATGCTTTTATTTGAATTCCTTTTACAATGAGGAGGATGGTCTGGATGGAGCTGTGGGAATGATCTGATCCAATCTCTTCATTATACAAAGTAGCAAACTGAGGCCCAAAGAAGCACATGATAAACAAGAAGGTCCTGTGAAAGTGGCAGGACCTAGGCAGGACCTGAGTCTGAGGTTTATATACTTTCCCACCATTTTTGTCATAAATATTGAACTATTTCCTCTCTGCCTTCCTTCCTGCAAAGCCCACAATTAAGGAAAAGAGTTAATTAAAATTATTATCATTATTCTGAAAGAAAATAATACTTGATTTATTTTTAAATTCAGCCTATAGTAAGTTTTGAAAATATGCAATAGATTTCCTGAAAAGATATTTATTAAGTCTGTGGGTAGTAGAATGTCACAGAAAGAACCCTACCCAGGACACAGGAGACTGGGATTCTATTCCAACCTCCTCTCTTACTAGATGTGTGATCCTGTGCAAGTCACTTCTAGGGATTAACACCGTCATCTTCAAAGTGACAGCAACAAGCTAGATGATATCTAAAGGTCATCTAGAAATGGCAATGAGTCTATGATTATACAACTACTGTAAATTTCTAAGAATTTATACAATTTAAAAATTCTTAAAGAAGTAATGTATTACTCAAAAGTGTAATGAGGCAATTAAAATAAAAAGAAAAACTTGCTTATATATTTGTTATATTTCTCATGCAAAATATATTAAAAAGCAGAAGTAGGAATTGGCTTTCAATAAGACTCAAGGGGCCTAGTTTGTCCAGTGTGAACTATTGTTAAAATTACACTGGAACAGGTTAATAGTTCCAACAGTACCTGAGGCAAGAGGGGTACTCCATTCTTCAGCCAGCGATATGTGGGTCGGGGTTTTCCGATAGCTTTACATTCCCATCGGAGAGGACTCCCGCTGTCTAACTGAGTATCATTCAGCTTTTCTACCCAGTGTGGGTAAGCTGTAAGTATGTAAGCATTAAAGAAGAATGATTTAATTTCTCAAACACTTCATCAAGCTCAAAATTCACATGGAAAAATTCATTGCTTTTTAAATTTTTATTTATTTATTAATTTTTTAAGCAATTTATGTAACCATAGGTGTTTGGAAGAAGCCCAGTATTGCATTACACACAAAACTCTATTTCCTGTGTTATATATATATATATATATATATACACAAACACACACACACACACACACACATATATAACCATAGGTGTTTGGAAGAAGCCCAGTATTGCATTACACACAAAACTCTATTTCCTGTGTTTTATATATATATATATATATATACACAAACACACACACACACACACACACACATATATACACACACATATACAGTAGTAAAGGTAGTAGAATAACTTAAAGCACTTTTGTAAGTTAAGTGAAATATATCTTATTTATTTATTTGTGTATTTACCCACTTTAAAGCAAGTGTGGTTTTCTCCTCAAAGCACCAGGACTTGTTTAGAGGAAAGTCAGGTACCTAGAGGCATTGCTCTTTCAAAGTATTTGAGCAGCATTAGCACAGGTAGAAGAAAAACAATATTTCCTCTTACTATATAACTGTTCTTTTTTTTTTTTAATAGAACATGAATAGCTTTGGAAAAGTAATTTGTGAATTCAAATTTTACTTAGTGTAAATTTTTTCTTAATTTATTACATTCTTTCAACATATATTTTTTTAAAATTTTCAAAATTCTAACAGAGAAAAATTTCTTTATCAGGAAAGAGATAATGTAATTGTATAAAATCTGTAAGATACAAGTTAAAGTGTCTTTCCTCCATTGGCTGACTTAAAAAAAAATACTAAATAAAAGTGACTTTTTGTCCACAAATATTCTGTTTAAAACAGTCAAAACAATAAATGTAAAAAATATCGAACTAAATTTTTTCTTACTCTTTGGCAACATTTTTGGGATAAATTATAAAATATTTTACTTTGTGCTAGTTAGGACTTCGATAATTCATTCACTCATGTGTTCATTCATCTCATACTACATAGTCCTTGTTCAATCTTAGAGGCTATTAGGGATACAGGAACAGCTAAGTCCTACACTTAAGCAGTTTATACTGGGATAGAGAAGGTCCAAAGTCAATGCCAAGAAAAAGGAGAGCATAAGACAGAAGATATGTTGAAGGAAACTGCACATGAATATCAGAATAGTGTTTCTAAAGAGACAACAGATGTCTAAAACCAAAGCTAGTTTAGAAAGGAGAAAGAGCAAGAAAGAAAGAACTCTTACTCATTAAATACTAGTCCTAGACACTAAGGTAAATTCTCAAGTAATCCCTATAATGTTAATCCTGAAAACAAATATATCTCAATTTATGAATCAGAAAAGTCTAGCTTAATGACATTACGGAAATTAACTAAAGGTCACAAAGTTTGTTTCTTGTCTGTAAGCAGGAATTTTGTTTTAATTAGCTCATTGGTCTTCTAGCCAATATAGTCTGGTCTTGAAGGGAGTCTACCTTGGCATAGCATAGTCAGGATTTATGAACCTTGAAATACATCGTGTGATTCAGCTTCTAAACTTAGAAGTTACCATTCAAAAATTTTACCGTGGTGAGTTTCAAGTATTAATGCTGATTTTTGTGCCTGGCTTCTGAAATCAGTCTCCTTGTAGTTACCTGTCATATATGCTAAAAATACTGATGGGAGTGGTGAGATACAAAAGCAATACCAAAGTGTACTTTCATATTTGGGCTTTCTGTAAACTCTCCCGCCCTACTTTGCCAGACTACTTTGTACTATGTGTGACCCTGTGATCCGGGTAGACCAGTTTGCTGTCTTCCAAAAACACACTATATTTTCTTCAAACTGTTCACTCCACCCGGGATGTTCTATTTCTTTTCTCCATCTCTTTTAATGCTATCCATAATTCAAGATTAAATATCACCACCCCCAGAAAGGAGTCTCCTGCATCATCCCTGGACACCTACAGTTCTTATTCACTTGGAAAATAATCACGTAGTAGCTTGTTACCTCTCTTCTATTGCTGACTTAAATTGTTATTTAATTATTTAGTTAGCCAGCTAGATAGTTGATCATTGAGATCTAAAAGATCTTAAAAAGTTACTAAAATAGAGGATTAGAGAAGAAAGAACTGTTAAAATAAAAACAATTTTGTCATCTACCAAAGAAAAACCTAGAAATTGAAATAATGTTTTGGATTACTCTATAAAATAGCCTAATTTAGAGTTTTGATTCCAAAATGAACTTGTCATAGGAATCAAACAAGTGATCAATGGCATTAAAATGAATTAATTCCTGTTTTCCTTTCTTCTTCAAATGTTTTTTTGAATTAATTCCTGTTTTCCTTTCTTCTTCAAATGTTTTTTTGACACCACGATAGGTGCAATGCTTACACAGAGAATACAATTAGAAATATGCCACAGTGTATGTTTGCTGTCCGCTCAAAGTCTATTGGGTAAGAAGTGATTAAAATATTATTCAAATTCACTCTACCAACAATTCTACAAATAAAATTGACCTGTTACACTGCCCTCAGAATTTAAAAAAATGCTATCAATTTATTAATTCTTGATAGATAAAAAAACCAGATGTGGTTTCAGGTCTTGCTGTCTTGAACTATGACTCCCTGGTTTATGAATAATCAAATTTCTTCATCATTTACTAATTCAACAAACATTTATTGCACCCTGAGAATGTTCTAGACACTATACCTGCTTCTAGGAATACTAATAAGAATATAAAAGCAGATTTGCTCTCAAAAAATTTATGGCCTTTACATGTGTAAATATATATTTCATATACAACGTGAAATAGAGGCTTGGTAGAGAAACATGCAGGATAGGAGGGAGGAACAAAAAAAAGAACACTCAGTTTAATCCATGAGGTGAAAGAAGACTGCACAAAGCTAAATATTGTAGATATTTGACAGGTGGAAAACACAAAAGTATATTCTAAGCAGACTGACTATCATCAGAGGGTGTTTGTGTGAACCTGACAGTAGAGCGTATGAGTGGAGTGTGTGTCTAACTAGAACATACAGTCTCAGCTGCTAGAAGAAACTGAAGAGTTTTATAGGAAATCTTTGCTTTAATTTTGATTGAGGCATTTTATATTCCTCCTGACACTTTGAATTTATCTCATTTTTCAGAGCCATGTATTAATAATATTCTTATTGTGGATCAAAAAGATGAACCCATGTATATTCCTTAAGGAATTCTATGTTTTTGTTGTTCTTTTTCTTTTATTCTTTAAACAAATATAAGTTTATTGTCTATTACATGTATTTCTTCATGTCTAATATTGGAGGAAAAAATCAGAAATATCATAGTGCAATCATTGCTAATCTGTTTATTTGCTACAGGACTAAAAAAAATGGAATATAAGTCAAATAAAAACTAGAATACAATTTTGAATTCTCAAATTTCAATATTAATAGATTATAATGAGTGTAAACCAATGTTTCATTAAAATGTGGTTTCACCTGATATATGAACTTGTACATATTTTCAAAGTATTCCATAACAATTTGATACAGATTGCATATCACTGAAGAACTATATGAAAAAAATGTATCATAGTCTTCATAAAAATGTTTCAAAATTATACCTGTGCCCCTACTCGAGTGTTTCTCATTGCAATAAATGATACCATAATTTTACTGTTGGCTGAAACCAGAAACCTATATTTATTGTTTGTCTGATTCTTCTATCTCACCACCCAAACCTGATTCACCAGTAGATTTCTACTCACATATTCTGCTAACAATTTGCTTTAGATCATCATCTCTCCTTGCTTGAACTATGACAACATCTATCTTTCTAACTATCTATATGATTTCATTCTTATCACCCTCCAAACCATTCCTTACAGGATAGCCAGAGTGATCATATTCATATCATGTCCATCCCTAATTATAATTAGTCAATGGGTTTATTATAAATGGAATAAAATTAAAATTTCTCAACATAGTTTTGAAAGCCCTGTGTGATTTTGGCCCTAATCTCATGCTGCAATCACCAACATCCCTAATTCCCTCCACTATGCCATGTTTTTACCAGATCCAGGACTTTTGCACATGCATTTGCTTCTGTGTAGACTTCCATTTCACCTATAATCATGTGATAATCTTTTAACTCTCACCATAAATATCTCATTATCAGAGAAGTCCAAACCTAAATATGATAGTCAACCTTTTTTTAGTTTTCTGTTTTGGTCCTTAATTAATTCCCTTTTCAGCCATCACTGCAATGTGCAATTATTTAATGTATTTATATATTTACTTATTTCTTAATATCCCTAATAAATGTAAACTTCCTGAGGGCATGAATTTGGTCAGCCTGGCTCAACAGTATAAGCCTGAAACCTAATACAGTATATGATGATAATAGGTATTGGATATGTCTAATGAATGGATAAATAAACTCTATGTATCATCTGCTTACTCTACTTGATATTTTCAGCACACCTAAAGCTATTTTACTACTAAGGTCTGGTTTACTCTACTCATTTTCTTTGAAATCCTATTCATTTCCTTCAAAGCTCCAAGGTAACACTGTCCATAATGTCTTTCCAAAAATACCACTGTTCCTTTCTTCAAACAATAATTTAATAGTAAGTTAAAAAAAAATCAATCTAATAAACTTAATATAATTTATTTCTCTGTGAAATCACCAAGCATTTGGGGAAGGTAGGGTCTCTTCCCAAGAAACTCTTATAATGCATTGCTATGAGAGGGATTGTGTCTTATAGATTTTATAAGATTTTATAGATTTTCTTTTCCTATTCTGGAGTGCTATACCATTCAACATTTTCCAAAAAGGAGTTCCTGACTTAAAATGTTTGTATTACAAAAGACCACAGATAGCCAAAGTAATTTTGAGGAAAAGAAAAAAGAAAAAACTGGAGGCATAACACTACATGACTTTAAACTATACTACAAAGCTATAATAACCAAAACAGCATGGTACCAGCATAAAAACAGACAC